TCAAAAAGACATATGCACCCCTATGTTTATTGCAGCACTTTTTACAATAGCCAAGATATGGAAGCAACCTAAGTGTCCATCGGTAGATGAATGGATAAAGATTATGTGGTACATATACACAATGGAATTCTATTCATCCGTAAGAAAGAAACAAATCCTACTATTTGCAACAACATGGATGGAGCTGGAAGACATTATGCTCAGTGAAATAACCCAGGCGGAGAAAGACAAGTGCCAAATGATTTCCCTCATTTGTGGAGTATAACAATGAAGCAAAACCGAAGGAACAAAATAGCAGCGGACTCAGAGACTCCAAGAATGAACTAGTGGTTACCAAAGGGGAGAGGTGTGAGAAGGCAGGTGGGGAGGGAGGGAGAAGGATATTGAGGGATATTATGTTTACTATATATGGTGTGGGGGATCACGGGGAAAACAGTGTAGCACAGAGAAGGCACATAGTGGATCTGTGGCATCTTGCTGCACTGATGGACAGTAACTGCATTGGGGTATAGGTGGAGGCTTCTTAATATGGGTACATGTAATAACCACATTGTTTTTTCATGTGAAACCTTCATAGGAGTGTATATCAATAGTACCTTAATGAAAAACTTAAAGAAAAATTAATACACAGTAATCTGTTCCATTCCTATACACTAACCATGAACTAGCAGAAGGAGAAATCAGGAAAACAATTCCATTTACAATTACATCAAAAAGTATAAAATATCTGGGAATAAACCTAACCAAGGAAGTGGAAGACCTATACTCTCAAAACTACAAGGTACTCTTGAGAGAAATTGAAGAAGATACCCATGAATGGAAACACATCCCATGCTTATGGATAGGAAGACTTAATATTGTTAAAATGGCCATCCTGCCTAAAGCAATCTACAGATTCAATGCAATTCCTGTCAAAATACCAACAGCATTTTTCAATGAACTAGAGAAAATACTTCTGAAATTCATATGGAACCACAAAAGACCCCGAATAGTCAAAGCAATTCTGAGAAGGAAGAATAAAGCAGGGGGATTATGCTCCCCGACTTCAAGCTCTCCTACAAAGCACCAGTAATCAAGACAATTTGGTACTGCCACAAGAACACCCATAGAACAATGGAAAAGACTAGAGAGTCCAAATATAAACCCAACCATATATGGTCAATTAATACACAATAAAGGAGCCATGGACATACAATGAGGAAATGATGGCCTCTTCAACAACTGGTGTTGGCAAAACTGGACAGCTACATGCAAGAGAATGAAACTGGATTATTGTCTAAACCAAACACCAAAGTAAACTTGAAATGGATCAAAGACCTGAATGTAAGTCATGAAACCGTAAAACTCTTGGAAGACAACATAGGCAAAAATTTCCTGAATATAAACATAAGCAACTTTTTTCTGAATGCATCCCTTGAGAAAGGGAAACAAAAGCAAAAATGAACACATGGGACTACATGAAACTAAAAAGCTCTGTACCGCAAAGGACACCATCAACAGAACAAAAAGACATCCTACAGTATGGGAGAGTATATTTGTAAATGACATATCTGACAAGCGGTTAACATTCAAAATATGTGAGGAACTCACATGCCTTAATACCCAAAAAGCAAATAACCCAATTAAAAAATGAGCAGCGGATATGAAGAGACACTTCTCCAATGAAGAAATTCAGATGGTCAACAGGCACATGAAAAGATGCTCCACATCACTAATTATCAGAGAAATGCAAATAAAAACCACAATGAGATATCACCTCACACCAGTTAGGATGCTCAATATCGAAAAGACTAAGAACAACAAATGCTGGTGAGGATGCGGAGAAAGGGGAACCCTCCTACACTGCTGGTGGAAATGTAAGCTAGTTCAACCATTGTGGAAAGCAGTATGGAGGTTCCTCAAAAAACTAAAAATCGAAGTGCCATTTGACCCAGGAATTCAACTCCTAGGAATTTACCCAAAGAAAACAAGATCTCAGATTCAAAAAGACATATGCACCCCTGTTTATCCTGCTGCTGCAGTATTTACAATCACCAAGATATGGAAGCAACCGAAGTGTCCATCAGTAGATGAATGGATAAAGAAGAGGTGGTACATATACACAATGGAATACTATACAGCCATAAGAAAGAAACAAATCCTACCATTTGCAACAACATGGATGGAGCTGGAGGATATTATGCTTAGTGAAATAAGCCAGGTAGAGAAGGACAAGTGCCAAATGATTTCCCTCATTTGTGGAGTATTAATAACGAAGCAAAACTGAAGGAACAAAACAGCAGCAGACTCCCAGACTGCATGAAGGAACTAGTGGTTACCAAAGGAAAAGGGTGTGGGAGTGTGGGTGGGGAGGGAGAAGGGATTTGAGGCATATTATGATTGGCACACGGGGTGTGGGGGATCATGGAGAAGACAGTGTAGCACAGAGGAGCAAATAGTGACTCTGTGGCATCTTACTACACTGATGGGCAGTGAGTGCAATGGGGTATTGGGGGGACTCGATAATATGGGTGAATGTAGTAAGCACAGTGTTTTTCATGTAAAACCTTCATCAGAGTGTATATCAATAATACCTTAATAAAAAAAAGAAATAATAATAATAAGGGCAATCTATATTTTAAGATTCAGAACATACTATATTATTAAGTGAAAGTCACAATTTGCAAAACAGAATGTGGAGAGTGTTCTCAATTTTTATTTTAAAATGTTTTCCATGTGTTTTATATAGGAAGTTGTATGCATTGATAGTTATAATGGCAGAGGAGGAAAGTTACAAGGTCCTTTATTCCTTTTTGTTATCATTCATATAAAATCACATGAGCAACATTGTAGTTACTAGATTCCCCCCATTATCAAGACCCTACCACGTACCCCCATTACAGTCACTGTCCATCAGTGTAGTAAGATGCTGTAGAATCACTACTTGTCTTCTCTGTGCTATACTGCTTTCCCC